TGTGACAGTGGGATTGTCCTCGAAGCCTCTGGGAAGGAGCAGTCAGCCTAGTGGGGCAGTGGTCCCAGGCCAGCAGCTTGTGAGAAACCACAGAGCTGCTCAAAGCTACAAGAAAGTAAAAGAATCAAAACTGCCAGGACAAAATACTGTATTACTGGCAAAGCCTTAATTATTTAGTGTTGTTGCTGGTGGCTGATGACCCAGCAATCAAGAACAAGCCATAAGTAATAAATTGCATTGAACATGGGGTGAACTCATGGTTCATTAACATATGAAATGCTGATGAAGTTCTGTGCACAAGGCAAGGAACATGAAAAGCGAGTACCATGGTAACATACAGGAGTGTCACAAGTTAGCTGCTGTGCTTAGGCCAGGCACAGCAGGCAACAGGTGGGGGAGACATGAAACTCCTACCACTGAAATTGCCTGCGTTGTAACAGAAAGAGAAAGCTAGGCTGCTCTGGAGTAAGCTCACTTTCTCCTCAACCAGTAAGACTGTCTCTTGCAGTGTTTGTGTGCTTTTTCAACCATTAATATAACCCTACACTGAATTAATTCAGTTGAAAATGGAAACAGATTTGCTTTCCTGTACATCAGTCTTCTTATTTCTACCACTGCTTTTATTTTCACAGTCAGTTTGAGAGCTCTTGCAGCGGAGGCTCTTGATTCAGTAATACACTTCAGGTAGTTAATACAGAGAGAAGCAGCCCTAGAGCTTTTCATTCCAGCTCAGACCGAAGACAAGTGTGCTGGCACTGGCTAACAATATGCTGTAAAGGTGTTGCAGGGCAAGAGGAACATTTTGCGCTTTCTGTCTCAAATGCTTAGTTAAAGGTCATCCATCCAAAACGAATCTGGATATTCTTTAACCTTTCTAAGCTCTCTTTCTCTCTCCCAATACACCTTGAAGTCATCTATAATATTTCCAGATGTATCTATGAGGAATGGTGGTGTTCATGAGCTGACAGGTGGTCTTTTTCTGCTGAACTCAGTAATGAGCTCCTCTTCACTCCAGAGGGTCTTTTTTTGTTGGTTTGGTTTTTTGGTTTGGTTTTAGTTGGTTGGTTGGTTGGTTTGGTTTTGTTGTTGTTGGCCAGGTCATCATTGCGAAGATAAAATACTGTATTCTTTATACAAGGGAAACTTCTATACTTCTGACAATGGAGTGATCTGAACCCAGGGGTCTTGAAAGTAGGTCATTGAGTACTCAGTAAAGGAAAAAAGTGTGTTTTCCAGTGTTCCTGCTTTTACTGGAGAGAATTGTCTTGTTTTCTAAATCTTGGCTTTAAAATTGAAAGACTTTTATAAGAAAAAAAATATTGATCATTTGATTTCATCACAAAGAAAATAATTATATCTGAGAGTTACATATTTTGAATCAGGAATAACATTTATCAATTGATTCTTTTGGAGCACTTGAGCACTAAAGTGTCTGAAAATAACATTTTTCTATCATTGGACAACATAGATTTTAAAGTCAATAACAGAGCAAATTGCCTCAAATTGGAAAATACAGAAACAGCTGTAGCACTGTTCTTTGTTTCTGGTTGTGTGTGGTTGGTATTAACTGAATCAGGAGTATGTGGTACAGCAACAGCATCTCCTGGGCTGTAATCTATGGAAGTGACAGTTACCAGGAGTCAGTTTGGTCTGTGATATTTGTAGCAGTGCAAGGTTGCACTGATTTGTTGTGGCCACTAAGGTGCTATTAGGGGTTTACCCCTTGACAAAGTTCATCTGCTCCCTTTATTCCCTTGGGATAGCCCATCTGTCCTGGAAAAGACACCAATTGATTTTGCCACCTTCTGGGGCTCTAGCACTGTGTGCTTGTTGTATTGTAACCTCTGTTCTCCCTCTCTCCTTATGTATCTTGAGGTGAGTGGAACTGAGAGGTAATTTGGGCACTGTTTTAGACTGATACTGGGTCGTTCCCTGTCTCGTGCCCTGACTTGCATTGCAGAAGTGGCCACATGCTCTGCTGTGTCACACAAGGTGTTGTACATGTAGTTCAGGTACACATGAAACTGTGGCTGCTTATTGACAATGGCTATGATTAAATGTCAGCAGCTTTTGCATTCATGATGTTACATTTCAAGGTAATTAATACAGATGCTAGAAAACTCACCTTCCTCTCACCCTATTTCTCTTCTGGGCATTTTGAATTGAGGCTCCTGAAGTAATGGTTGCATTGCTTACCTGAAATATAACTCGTATGTCACGGGTTTGCTTCCTTTTGGTTCGCTTTTTTCCAAAATATCACTGTAATAATTACTGTAACAGAGTGCTTTCTGGGGAGTTAATGTTCTTTTGGCTTAATGGCCCCTGGTTATTCTCAGGCCATCAACTTTTCCCAACTGGTCATCAATCCCAAAGAACTGCCTTGTGCCTCCATTATTATTGCTTAAGTAGATGACATTTCTGGTGCCACTGCTGCCTCTCAATGAGATGATATTACAGCCCATAGCTTTTTTCCCCCCTTGCTTTGAGTATTGTCAGAGTATTATAGACAGCTGGTACGAGAATGTTGTGGCTGTTGGCTGTGAATTCCTCTGACAATTTTTAGGTGCAAATTTTGTAGACTTCAACTGAAAGAATCTGAGTGAGGCGACTGAAAATGACTTGCCAGGAGCAGTTACAGAGGCTCAGTCCACATGCATCATTCAAGAAGTAGCTAGGCAATACCTGAGTGTTTCAGTCTGAAGACTTTTTCCCAGAAGGAACATTTTTCAAACAAGATCTGGGACAGATGTTTTGGGGATGTTAATGTTAATTATCTAGCCTCGGCCCCCTCCCCAAGTTTCCAGAGTTCCCCTGATGGTCACCCTGGTTTCTTAACAATTGATGGATTCTGGGGCAGACTTTTTTAAAAAGAAATAAGGAATTTGTAGCTCAGTAGGCCAGAAACCAGCAGAGACTGTTTAGGTGAAAATGCCTTGCTATGCTGATATTCAAACCTATGTGAGTTAACATTGGTGCTGAGTACATTTCCTTTAACCTCATTAGCACTTCAACTTGCTTTCCCAAGCATGATGGTGGAGCAGCTAGTTCACCTTAGAGCCTTTTGCTAGGTAATTCATCAAAGTGGCAGATGAAAGCTTAAAGGAAAATGCATGTAAATACTGCATTAGGAACCTTGGCTCAGAAAGGCATGAACATTTCTACCCATATCATTAGCTCTGGATTATAGTCCATAGACGTGAAAGAAAAGGGATTTTGCTGTTTGGAGAGATGGAGATACAAGGCTTACTGGTTGTGTGGATTGTGTAATTTATTGATTTTTCTCTTCAATTAAAAAGCACTTCACCATTCATTAGACAGTCTCACAGAAAAAAAAGACCTCAGACTGTGACTGTAACTGCTTATTACCTTCAAAATTAAAAGCAAGTTACTATAGTAAAATACTCCCATCAAATACTAGAGGCCAAAGCATTTTCAAACAGCAGGTTGAGATTATCTCAAACCTAGGTTGTGTGTCCATTTCAGCTTTAGAGTTTGAAGCTGTGCCTCACTGCAGACTGATACAGTCGTTTAATTTCTATATACATGTGGTTAATAATAAGTGTACTATATGCCACCATAACTTCTCTTTGCTAATAAACCTACCAGGCTTACACCTGGAGACATGCTGGCTGCATTTGTAATGGTGTGAACGAGAGCCACAGAGAGCCACAGGGTTTGGTCTCAAGGTGCTGAGGCCCTCACTGTCCAAGATGGGTTTAGTGTGCTCATGCTGTTCAGAGCCAATCGATACTGTCATCTCTTGGCATACTACAGGATCAGGCCAGTGCCACAGTGCTGTCTGCAAGTTGTGTGTCTGATTTGGAGCCTCTGGAATTAAACAAGCCTGTTACTCACCAGGAAGAGACTGGAATGACATCCCTTATTGTTATCGATGCAAATAAAATTCTGATTCTGGACACCCTTGGGGAAGAAGATCAGTAGGTCAAAAAGATTGAGCAACCACAGTTCAGTTGCTATGCCTGGTGGGTCTTTTTGGTGATGGTTTTTTGTTTGTGGGTTTTTTTGGGAGAGGTGGAGGTGGTGCTTGTTGGTGTGTTTTTGTTGTTGTTTTGCAAAGAAATATACACACCACTTGCAAGATAATATTTCATCGAGGGCCACCAAGGCACAAATTCAGACAGTCTTTATTTACCTCACAGTAATCTTAAAAAGTAACACTTAGGGGATACAGTTAACCCTTTGCTCCTTTTTAGTTCTCATGCTGATCAGCAGATAGTGACATACCCCTCTGATATCGTTGGCATACTTCAATAATATGATTTATCATGCATTTTCATTTTCATGAAAGCTTGTTTTACTCTCCTGCTTCCATGAGGTCAGCACTCACTGAACAGGCACCTCCTGTTCCATTTTACTGTGTAACTTTTAAACATGACCTGACAAGCTAGAAAAAGTTCAGTGCACTAACTCACTGTCATGTAAAATACACGCAGACATTAATGACCAGCTCTGGCTGTTGAACCATAAAGGAGGTACGAGAGCACTGCAGTGCTTATGGCACCAACTTGCAAACAGCACAGAAGGATTGGGCCAAGGTATCACTCTCTTCACATAGCAAAGTGTCCTAATCACAAGGTTGAAAAGCTATTCACACATGAATTTATGAAGACTTAGGATATATTATTTCCTGAAAAAAATGGAAGAGGAAGAATCAGAAATACTCCAATTATAGTTCATTTATGGCAAGTGAAAGAAGTACAATCCTAAGCAGCTGGGAGCAGTATAGAAGCTGTTGTGATTCCTGTATATGAAGCAGCAGGAGAAAGGAGGATTTAAACGGTGGGCTTAACTCCACAGAGGAGCCTTTAAGGGCTATACACCTACACCACATTTTCCCCATCTACAAAATGTACAGGTAATGTGTCTCCAGTTATTTGGGAAGACTGCTGGGAGAGATTTATGTAAATTCATTCCTCTGAGATTTTTGCTGTAAAATATGCCATGTACATGTAAAATATAGTTACGTAGTGAAAAGGAGGATGTCTGCAGCTAATTTTGAAGTATGTATGTCTTTGCAGCCGTTAAAAATGCACTGCAAGAGTTGTGCATTGGTCACCAGCTCTGGACACCTTCTGGGAAGTAAACAAGGGGACAGAATCGACGAGACGGAGTGTGTAATACGAATGAATGATGCACCTACTCGAGGTTATGGAAAAGATGTTGGAAACAAAACGAGCCTTCGAGTCATTGCACACTCCAGTATTCAGAGGATTTTGCGAAATCGCAACGAACTCTTAAACATGAGCCACGGTGCCGTGTTCATCTTCTGGGGCCCGAGCAGCTACATGCGGAGAGATGGGAAGGGCTTGGTGTACAACAACCTGCAGCTGATGAACCAGATACTGCCTCAACTAAAAGTATATATGATTTCTCGCCATAAGATGCTTCAATTTGATGACCTTTTTAAACGGGAAACTGGGAAGGACAGGTGAGAACTTACGTGGATACATCTGGGGAATGTCGTACAGTAGTAAAATAATGCAGTTTATATATACCAATTTCAGATCTGCTCAGAGGGACAATCATGCCCATTAAATCCTCTGCCTCATGAGCTGGAATAGAGTATGACATGCCAAGTAACATCACTGGTAACATAAGTAAAAAATGTGCATCAAAATGATTTGCATGGAGTATTGCCTCATCAGCTTAGAATACCAGAATCTGGAGGTGCTGTTTATGCAGCCGAGGAGGCAGGAGCTGTTTAAATCTTACGGTGGGATAATATACCTTAAGATTTTTCCACTGATTCTGAAAAATTAAAATGGATAGGTTATGTTTTCTTATAGAGGAAATGCCACCATTCAGTGAATTATAATAGCTGTTTATTGAATTTAAGCATTCTTGGAACACTGCAGCTGTAAAGCTTCTTGTAAAACAAATAAACATTAGTCATACATTAGGTCCTTCAGAACAGTTCATTTTATATTTGCAAATGGGAAATGGAAAGTTATTAGAAGAGTTACATCTTTATAAGACTGTTTATGAGACTTGTAGGGTGCTCTTCAAATCAAATTTTCAGTAAGTGACCCAGTGCAGGACATGAGCATTTTTGAAAATGGGCATTCAAACCAAAGACGTCGCAGCAAGAAAGACACTTATTTTTAATGAACTTCTATTTTTTCTTATTAAATATACTGCTGTAAAAACGGAACAGGGTCCCCACTTAGATACAAATGAAGAGGTGCAGTAGCCAATGGTGAGATTTTCTAACTTACAAATAGCATACATACACACCCAAGCTTGAAACTGGGCTTGATTCTCTTTTGCCCAGGGAAGACTCAAAAGCACAGGCTAGTTTTCTGGGCTACATAAGAAAGGCAGAACTCATGTTAGAGGAAGCTGTTGTATCCACTTAGATGATGGCAACATTTGCTTGGCAATTGCTGCCTTTGTGACACCCCACATGGTTTGCTTGCAGAGCTCTGTTCTGTTACAGTGGATCAAACAATGCATCTAAGTTAGTGACTGTCTCACCCTAGAGCACAGAGTAACTTGGTCAGTTTCTTACCATTAAAGGTCCTTTTCTCTTTGTCTCAAATTGGTGCTTGTGGTTCTGCCAGAATGAGAAGGAAGGATAATGGGGAAATACCCTGCCTGTTCTGACATGGTTCAGTAATTTCCGGAGTAAAGCGAACTGAGGTGGTGAATTAAGCATTTGAAGCCTTCAAGAAACATGCAAAGGTTTCTCTGTATGCTCAGTATTTACAAAGGCATTAAAGTCAACAAAGTTGTAATTGCACTGTAACACGTGCTGACATCAGCCCGAAGGGTAGGCTGTGCACAAGGAATGCACATTGATACCTCCTTTCCTGGATTAGCTTTCAGTGTAAAACCATGTGCAGTCCCCAGTTCTGAGGAACATTTACCTCTTCTGCTCCAGTCTGGCCACAGAGAGCCAGAGTCCCATTCCTTCCCTGACACTGCCAGGGTTACAGTCTTTTTCTGACACATGCTGTGCAGTTTCAGGCAAGCTGCTCTTTCTGGTTCTGTATCACCAGCCAGAGCCAGAGGCTTGTAGTGTGTGTGTGATGAAAGCATTTGCTTTTCTGCCCAGGCACCAGGCTCAGCTCCTGAGATATTCTCAAGGCGTTAGGGCCATTAATGACACTATAACAAGTTTATAGTGGACTCAGTCATGGGCACCCTGAGCTCCCAGTGTGAATCAAGGGCACTCAGATGCCAGCAAAATTCAGCCTCAGGAACAGGCCCTGTTGCTTTTAATAAACTGCAGGCTCTGCTGTGTAAGAACCACCGCTTTAGAGGGCACATGCAGCATACTTGAAGGACTAAGAAGATTAAAACAGGAGATGAAAATAAATGAATAAGCAGCACAGAAGAGAGGGAAGATGAAAAGAAACACGGGTAGGAAAGAATTTGTAGGAGAAAATTTATGTAGCTGTGGGGGCAGGAGCAGAACATTGTATAGCCCAGAATGCTGCTGTTCCCTTGGAGGTTTCTGCTGAGCTCTTGACATTAGTGCCTGCAAAAAACAAAGGAGGGAGAGCAAAGCATGATTGCAAGGTTGCAATAATCAAACCATTCATTTCTGTCTTGAAAATGATGAGAAAAAAGGTAATGGGATGTATTGTGCTTTTTGGAAAAAAGCTGACTTTGAAATGAAGGGAAACCTTCAGAAAACATTGCCAGTTAAAGTGTGGTGAAAGACAAAGGCTGCAGAGCAATATACTTGGTATTATAAAGTAACTGTACTTGAAAATAACTTTATAATTGAATAAGGGTACATTAAGAAAATATGATTCAGGACCAATATTATAGTAATTAGATAAAAGAAGCATAAATGAAATAACTGCAGGAAGACTATTTCCGTAGAGATTATAAATGAGATTTTGGTAGAGCAGAAAGGCCTTTAATTGTAATTTAGTGTGCACTACAGAATTATCAGCACAGTGTGTTAGTTCATCATATAAAAGAATATCTGATAATTTCCCCTAATAAGCACATGACAGTTCTTCATATTCTTTCATTACAGCTGATTAGGTATAAAAGCAGTATTCTTTTGTTGGACTCTTGCTCAGATCTTTCATAAAAAGGCAAGACACTAACCCCCTTTCTATGTTGCTGTCCTACAGACACGGTATTTAAAGAGGCCGGAGTGGTATTGGATCAATTTTTGAAACGTTATTTGTTTAGCTTTTAAGCTAGTTTATTGATATTCAGTTATTCTGCTATTTACTGAAAACACTAAATTACAGCATAAGTGTGTGTAAGCAGAAAGGAAATTATCCCAGCAGAAGCCTAGCTGGGTTGCCTGACCTGTGCAAAGTGACTTCGGTCATGGTCTAGCTACAATTGCTCCCTCGGTTTCGGAATGGTTTTAGGCACCTGAACAGTGGCCCTGTGCGAGCTCCAAAGTACTCTTAGCCTGAACATGTTCCTGAATTACCTAGTGATTCATAGCTCAGAAACTCTCAAGAGGCAGAGAAGCAAGTTTTTTAGGCTTTCCCCTACCATTCCCAGTCCTATTAATTTTGAGCCAAAAGTTCTTATTTACTGTTTTATATTGTTGCAGTGCCTGAAGGTCTCCACTGAGCTTATGTCCCAGCTATGGCATTGTGACAAAGTGTACTACCCTCCCCAAGCTTCAGTGCAGAGTCAGAAAATAAATAAGGCCCCATAATTGGAAATAATGAGATGCTTAAAACATGTCATTCTCCAAATGCCAGCTTAGCCTGATAGTCTGTTTGTCAGGAGCAGTATGTTTTGGGAGTTCATATGTTACCAGGTGACCCACAAAGGACAGGACAAACCACCTGGGCTCCCCAGCATCCTTCAGGCATATTTGGTTAAAGAATTCTCTTACGTTAAGAAATGTCTTTTAAGCAGTCAGCACTGATACCACCACTTGGATTTTTTTTTTTTTTTTTGCAGTAGTCTAATTCCCTGAGGAAATGGGAAACCTTGGTATAAGGCATTCCTCAGTCTGACAGTGCTCAAAACATCTCCCTCCTACTGCCCTGTAGGTGACCTACTTGGAACCAGCTCGGGTTAGCATTAGCTTGGGAAGCTGCAGGGTGGCTCTTATCAGCTGACTTAGATGTTAGTGATTGCTGGCACTTGCTTGCAGTGGCTGTTGTGGCCTCAGGTTCCTACTTCCAGGACTGTTCCACATCCTGCTATCACTGGGTAAACTGGACAAGATGGCCTTGGAACTAGGGTCAGGACCTGGGACTCCCAGGAGACTTCCCTAAAGAGAACCTTGTGTTTTCTGCTGTGTTTTTTTTGGGGGCCAGCGGGGGGAGTGGTGGTGTCACAGTTTCACAGGTATCAGGCAGATAGAGGTGTGGGGGAAAGGGGTTAATGTTGGTTCCATATTAATACAATCTGATGCAGTGCACACACATTCCAAGAGCCTGCACTTGCCTTCACAGTGCCTCAGCTTTAGTGGGAGATGAAGGGGGACCAGTTACTGTGACAGGCTGTCAGCAGGAGTCTGAGGCTGTTTTGGGCTGCAGATAACACAAGCCTGAACTTCTTCCTGTGGGACTTTTCTAGCTGCGTGAGAAGCCATTAGGGAGACCTGCTATCTTCTTTAACAGCATTTGAAGGGATCACCTTTGAGTGAACTGGTTTTCTCTGCAGCAAATACTCGACTTTGTGCCTCCATGTCTAAGAGAGGTGCCAGTTCCTAAACATGCCCTTATGACACCTTTAAGACATGCTCCTCACTGGGTTTTCCTTCATCCTCCTGTTCCAAGACTGCCAGTTCTCCCACGCATAAAGACAGTGCAGGAACTTAACACAGGATTGGGAATTCCAATATATGTGCCAGGCAACCAGTCACCATTATAGAACTCAGCTCTTACTAAACAGCACTGACAAGCACATGAGAGGAAGAGGAAACATTACTGTTGCCATTTTGCAGATAAGAGCCTGTGATACAGCAAAACTTAAACAGAACTTGTAAATCCCTTCCATCTGCGAGCAGTTACATGGAAATATCTCCTGTTTTGTATAAATAATACTGGGATCAGTTGAGCTTCTTTTAAAGCTATCTCCCAGCCTGCAGAGTGGGCTAGGAGAGAGGGGCTGCCTCAGAGGGCTCCCTGGCAGCGTGTGTCATTCCCATTCGAAGGTCCCACCAGGCAGACCTGGAACCCAGGCCAGGCAGAGAGGCAGCAGCTAGGATGAAGGTTTCCTAGGCTGGCTATGGGACAGGCAGAGCTGCAGCTAACTAAATTTCCTGCCAGGAGTCACAGTGAGTGCCTGGGAGCTTCTAGAAACCAAATCATGTATGGCGTGGGAGGGAAGATGGTTACAACCAGGACTTGAGGCCAGATCTCACTCAAGCAGACAGGCTCAGGCTCCTCTGCATGCTGTGGGAGGCAGCATTTATTTAAGCAGCCCTCTTCATCACCCCGTGATGCATCTTCCTAAGCACTTAGTGTGTAAGCTCCATTAAGTGATTACAGATGTGTATAGATTACTAGCAGTAGAATATAAATATAGTACATGAAGTTTCAGACACTTAGAGTAAATTTACCGAAAGGTCAGCTAAATATTAACATTGCTGTGCCCCAAATTAATTATAGTGGGGGCAGTTTCTGCATAGATTAGTCCTCTGACAGGAAACACCAGCAAAAGCATTAAAAGATGAACAAGCAAAGTAGTCTTGGTTGCCCAGTTTTCATAACCTTTCATAAGAATAAAAAAAAATGCCCAGAAGTTGCTTCAGAATTATTTCAAGGAATAAATAAATCTCAAGAATTATTTGTCAGCTTAGAAACTTATTTATGTTTTTGCTTTCAGGAAGATATCCAACACTTGGCTCAGCACGGGCTGGTTCACAATGACTATCGCATTAGAGCTCTGTGACAGGATAAATGTTTATGGCATGGTGCCACCGGATTTCTGCAGGTAGGATTTATCTTGGAACCATTATTAGCCAACAGAGTTAATGTCACAGATAAATATCTGAACCTTTTAATCTTTTTTTTCTCTGCAACATGTCTTCAGTCCTCTTAAAGCAATTAAGATGTCCCACAATCTCATTCTGAAAACAACAAACAGCATTTAATTATGTTATATAAAATATCTTAAAATTTTCTTTGTAGTGTGGGAGAATTAATCCATCTTGGTTTATTTTAGTCTCTGAATATTTATCAGCTAAAAGTAATGCAATAATTGGCATGAAATTAATCTGAAGAAAGAAGTACTGGAAAACATTTCTTTTAATTTGTTTTTCAATTCCCCCCCAGTTAATAGAGGAACAACGTTCTCACTGTGACTGGATTGTAAATTGAACTTTGTATGCAACTCAAATTAAGATTGTTGTATCTCTGTCACACAAATCCCAGCCTTACAGTAAACTAGCTTCCTAAACAATATCCCCCAAATCCCTCCCCCAGCATTTGGACCCAGGGAATAGGTAATCAGTCCCATAATCACCCAATCTGGGCATGCAGGGTGTGAGCCACAAGGGTAGAAGCAGCACACAGACTCAGTGGAAGCTGTTCTATAGAGTAACAGCTTGTGCACAGTTTATGGCTGTGTTGTGCCTCCAGCCCTGTTCAGGAATCAGGTCCAAGGTCTTGGTTAAGGTTTCCCATTAAGGATCTGTGGTACAGGGAAATACTCTTCAGGACTTCTGGTACTGGACCAAAATCACATTAGCCACATGATGCAAAGTAGTGATCCAGGATGAACACATACAAATCTTCATGCTGACATGAAGTCTCACCTGTCCATCCATCACAAAGGCACTGTGGCCTTTCAGAACAGTCTGGTTATGTACCCACACCTCGTGCTGATCTCACCCACACTGTTAGGGGACCTGGCAAGGCACAGAGCTGGTGCTGGCACTCTGGAATGAGGCAGCAGTGTAATGTTTCATCACCTGCTCACAAACCCCTTTCACTAACAAGTACCTGCTTGAATTTTCTTCTGCAAATGTCATGATCTCACTGAAGTCTGGTTCATTGACTAATTCCAGCTGCCTTTCAGGGGCAGGAGAGCAGGGCTGCAGTGCTGGGTTAGCACATCTATCAAAGAACAGGACTGCTTTGACTTTCCTCTGAGCACTTAAAAGGATCATTCAGGAATCTGCATTTGTCCTGAGCACACAGTAGAAATCCCTGAAGAAATCACAGTATAAAATGTCAATAATAAACTCCACTTTGTGAGAATTTCTACAAATTATACAAAACACTTGATGATAAATGCTGTGATGTACTGCCAGACTTCATCATGAATTCTCCAAGGAAAATAACAAACTAGATCAGATATGCCAGACAACATAAATACCTTCCACAGCATAGCATCTCAGTTCCCCTGTCATTTCAGTTGGCCAAGACATACTACTTCAGTTTCTCTAAGTGACTGGTCTGCCTTACTCCAGAGGTGGCTGCATTCCAGTGGCACATGGAAGCAATTCTGAAACCAATGATCTAAAAATGCAGAAGACAGCATTTCACTGCAAAGCAAGGCACAATTCTGACATTTCAGGCAAAGTCAAAATAATTTAGACACGTAAACATTACATATATTTTAAAATCCCCAAAACTAAACAGCTTTTAAGGGAGGCTAAAAATGTCACTGAGACCATATGAAAGGCTTTCATAGAACTGTTACACTGAAATCAAATGGATATGACACTACATTAAACCACAAGAAAGGCTGTAAATCAATCCTACCACTGATAGATGTAATAATGCTTACAGCCTGCATTAAAAAAAATCTTAACAGAATGGTATGCTCAGCTGGTTGTAAAAAGGGAAAAGGTCATTTCTTAATCAAAATAATATGAAGTGTCTTTCCTTCAGCTTGATCCCTCAGGTGATGAAGGGGAAAACTGTAGGTGCCGTGCCTGGAAGAAGCTGTCCATGAAGATCTATGAGAGGAGTTTCTTGCCATAAATACCGATAACCTTCTTAGTTTGCTCTTCAGCTACTCCTTAAGAAGTTAAACAGTGGTTCCTTTCAAAGAAATAAGACAACAAAATAGAATAGCAGAAAGACAGAAATATTCTGTAATTGTAAGCCATATTTCCTGGTTTTCAGTCAGACAGAATGAGACTCTACCATTGAAATAAAACAATCAAAACAAAAAAACCCCAACAAAACAACTGAAACCTTACCCCTCGTGTGTGAGATGGTGTAGGTGCCTGAGTTGCTGTGCAACTGAAGAATCATTAAGATTTTTAAAAAAAAAAACCCAAACAAAAAAAAAACCCATCCCTTATTTCTATTCACAGTTAGTATCACCAAATTTCCAACTTCAGCAGATAGATACCCATTATTTTTAAAGTATTAATTTGCGGAGTAAGTAATGAGTGTGGTGATCACTGTCATGGAACTAAATTAGTATCACATCTGTAACGTGAAGGACATCTCAAAGGTACCGTGAATATGATACTGTTGATTCTGCTACAAATTATTAGATTAAGATCATTAACCAAATTGCTTTGCACCCGTGCAGGAAAAATAGTCTAGTGAAGGAGTCTGGACTCCAGACTAAAGGGTTTGTTACTATTAATTTCAACAAGGTGTTTAGGATTAATTTCTATTTACTTTCACTGGACACTGAGTTTTATAGCTGAACTGGAATTGGTGTCCTGATTATTAAAACTTTCTAGTACTTTATAGCAAAGCTATCTGTAATTTCAAACCCCTTTGCTACAGATTTATGCTGTAGTAAGGGTTAATGGCTTGATATTGCTCTCATGCTGCTAAATACTTCTGCCTTGCACATTCTATAGTATGATGAAAGCTTGTGCTTGCTTCCATGCACATTGTAAGATTTTTGGAGAGTTTGTGCACCTCACTCTTTTATCACAAAGCAGGCCAGGCCATCTTGCTGTATTTTTCCCAGTAGCCAGAATTCCAATCCTGGCCTCTGCTGGGGCAAATTAGCACCCCAGATAGGAAGCATTTCCCTCTCTAAGCTCCCTTTGGCAGCCTGTTGGATGCACAGCACTTGCTCCTGAACTGGGACATCAAGGACTTTCCTCTTGCCTCCCTACAGCAGCAGCCTGCACAGACACCTCCACAGCTCCTGAAGGCACTGCAGTGCTGTTGTTTTCCTTTGGGGCTGTGCAGCAGCATGGGTGGGCAGGACACAGACAAGCCTTAATGCAGTTTGTAGCAACTCCAGGCCCTGTCCATGGGATTATCAGCAGCAGTGAGAGAGAGGTTGGTTCCTTGCAGGACTAGGTACTCATGCACACCAGGAAAACTCAAGGTGTGAGTGAGCTGAGCCCTCTTTAACACTCCTCTTCATGGGCCTCCTGGAACTGACAAAAACATAAAACTTAATTCTGAGCCTTATTTTAACTAATACGAATAATTTTTGCTCCAGTTATGGACCCAGATGATTTTCCTATAAGAATTCTCATTTGACTGCCAGGCCATTTTCCATCTGTGATAATTTGCCTGAAAATTGGCGTTTGAATTCCTTTAATTTATTCCTTTGGGTACAGCTTTTAAATCTAGTGTTTTCTTACCCTCCCTCTCTCCACCTTCAGTTTCCTTAAATCAAGTGCTAAGAAACATTTGTTACTAGTTGTATTTCCTGGATTTTAGGAGGGACTTGATGGAAGAAATGGGGATCGCAGGGCTGTAAGCTGTGTGTGAGACAGTCCTGCCCTTTGGTCTGTATGCATCACCTCGTTCCCTTAATAACATAATGCATAAACAGTTTGGAAAACAGGGCTAGTATGGAGGTCAGGGAATTGGGTTCCAGGGAAACGAAGCCAAAAATATTATCCAGCAATCTTCATAGTCCTGGCACAGCTCCTTACCCATCACTCACCACATTAATGATGCTTTATTCACCTGTCAAAATATGAATTATTTTACAAATCATGTGAGCACCTATAGTTTTAGTGGGGTGATTTATAATGGCTTTTCATTTCTAAGGGAAGAGGTTGGCCAGAATGTGATATGGGATGGCCTGGTTTTTCTGCCTTGTTTCTTTTGAGGCAAACAGTGTTTGCTGTATTTTCAGCTTTCGCTGTGGGCGGTTACCATCTGTGGGAAAATGTGCACTCAAGTGGCAAACAGCAGCTGACTGACACGGGGACAGGCACTTACACGGGTGCTGTGCTGGCAGCTCTCAGGCAGGAAGTGCGGGAGATTTTACAGAGGAATTTCCCTAGATTCCTCCCAGCTGTGATATTAATATGCATGCAGAGTCTGACAAAATACTGATTAATGTCCAGTATCATCAGTGATAAAACAGCATCTGTTTTAATGTTAATAAATGAGGTGGCAAGCGATTTCCGTATAGAAATTACTCATGCGTTTCATTTGCTGGTGACACAAGCTAATTGCAGCGTTAGAAGATAACACAGCACAGTTAATTTGGGTTATGGTGTAGTTACTCCAGCCAGAGTTCAAATCCAAACCTTGCTAGCATGCAGTCTAGGGGAATCCAGAACTTGCACAAAAGGAGAAGGTCCTAGGTATCTAACTGCCTTTCAGAGTTCCTAAATCCAAAACACTTCTGGAATTCAGCCTTAAAACCTCAGTGAGCTGCAGAGTAGTCTCAGAGAGGTCTAAAGCCACCAGCCACCATTTTTACATTGAATTCACCTCAGTTCAGCTTGCAGACCTGTATAAAAGCCTTGACAGCATCCATCAGGGATGTCTGGGCCCAGCAGGGTGCCTGGACTGTGCTCCTCTGCCTCTCTCCCCTGCCAGGCCCTGTGCAGCAGATGTCTCTGGACTGTTTTTGATAGGATGTTACACAAGGTATAGTGACCTGTTACTACCTGGACCTAAGGGCATCTGCTTAGGATACTCTGGTGTTAGCTTCAGAGCCTTTGATGTAATGTGGAATCTCTGTCTTCAAAAATACCTCCCCTAGAGGCATTGGGGCCAGCAGCCTTACGGGCTCACTCTGCAGTTTACTGGGACTGCATTTGTCCCACGTATGTTGGAGATACAATTTCCACTTTACCAATTCTAACTTTAAAGCAGTACATTTATACCAAGCAATACAGGTTTACCCTTGAGACCCCAAGAGTAAAATGCAGCTTCAGAGCAGGAAGGAAGAGCAATTGAAATGAGAGGCAAAGTCCTGTTTGTGTAGTTCTTAACAAAAATAAATCACATTAAAATGTATCCTGTTAGATTTACAGTAACCATACCAATGATTCATTTAAGTGACTATAACAAGAGGTCCAGTATATCAAAAAAAGTGAAAAATTAATTGAAGATTGAGGTCTAATAGTTGTAGCTTAAAAGTATTACATTTCTATGTGAAGGGTAGTTTTTACATTACAAATGTGTTTTCTGTAGGTGAGGTAGTGAAGGATTTCATTTCACTCTTATATATTCCAGTGAGAATATATTTAGTAAGTTTAGAATCCATCTTACTCTAGAAATGTAATTTTATTGTTACTCTGGTCTTGTGAGATTGATCACCATGTTATGTTAGGAGGAAGCTAGACTGATTGAATTAAAATGTTAATCTAAAGGCACAAATGGAAAGCAGCAGCAATATCATACATTACCTCTGCATATACAATATGGATAATGGTAAAATAAGAAAAATTAGAGAATTGCATGGGTGACAGAATTACACAGCAAAAATAATGACCAGGACAGAATGCTGACAGATTGTGGATGCATTCAATTGAAAGTGAGCTTAAATATTAGCTCTTCAAAATGAAAATAATCAACTGTATATTAGAGTTGACAGCCCTGAATCTACGTGAGATTTCTTGCTCTGTACTAGGGTCCTGTGCAGCTCAGGCTTTACCACAGAGCAGCTCCAAGGCTTCACTGAATGCTGACATTCACATTAACCTTTCTGCCACAACACACTAGTTGGTATCAGCTGTGGAGGGTGGTGCAATTGGGTTATTCTATCTGGGACAGCTTGCTGTCTTTGAATTTATGACAAAGAGCATTGTGTGAGTTCCTGTCAGCCCAAAATGCCTCTGCCCAAAGTAAAGAACCTTAACGGGTGCAGTGTAATGTAAAGATTAAAACAAAAGGGGAGTGAATCACTCTGGCTTGTTCTAATACAAGTGTACCTTTCACAGACTGTAACATCAAACCACTGAGGTTAGAATTGCTAAAATGAACTTTAAATGAATGAACTAAGTATCTAATTGGTCTTTGGCGTATCGGATGTGTCACCACACAAGTACTCACCTCCTGCTGGGTGACACGAACAGGTTCACAAGGTCAGGAGGATACTGTGGGTGAACAGATTTAATTTTTAGCTTAGATACATGAAAGTTGCTGTTGTAAAATAAAAAAAGGAAGTCATTTGTGCACCAGATATGTGATTAAAAACCCAGCAACAGCAGACTGTATCCCTGACCCAGCATGCAGATACACTCATTGAAGTTGTGCACTTGGAACCTCACACACTGTGCTGGGAATGTTCATCTGAGCTGATGTGACACAGATAACCACCTCCCCTCTATCTTCTTCCCTTTCTTCCCCCAGTTCAGTAAATATCTCTGCAAGACCTTTTGTAAATCACACTCTAGATTTAAATCTCTTTTAAGCAGTTTGCTTCAAATTTTATAGTAGTAACACAGCCCTGCAGCACTCTCCCTTGTTTCTGAGCTACTGCTGTCCTTCATTTAACTGGGAGGAGGGGATTAAAGGAGTGCAATAGAAAGAGCAAAGAAAACACCTTTGCCCCATTCTGATGTATTAAACATGCAAGAAAAATACAGCTACCTAGAAATTTGGTTTAACTGGGAGAGAAAGTGGATTTGAGTCCGTCAGATTATTACAGATAGCATCTTTTCAATCAATGAAAAAGAACATCTTGTGCTTCCATCTCTTTTCTTTCTTCCATAGGGATCCTAATCATCTCTCAGTACCTTACCATTATTACGAACCTCTGGGACCTGACGAATGCACAATGTACATTTCCCACGAGCGGGGACGGAAGGGCAGCCACCACCGCTTCATCACAGAGAAACGTGTCTTTGAGAACTGGGCACGGACCTTCAACATTCACTTTTTCCAACCAGACTGGAAACCAGAACCACTCACTGTACATCGCCCCGAGAACAAACCGGTGGTCTGAGGGATGAACGCACAAGCCCACGGTCACAGTCACCCACGGTGCCAGTCTTTGGACCTTCTGGGACAGCAAGGCAACCTGGAGGAGAAGGGTAACAGGGTCTGCAGATGGCAACTGCAGCAGCAGTCAGGAAGCTGTGATGGAGGAGCAGCACATACCAAGAGTACTTTTGAAGTGTGTATTAACCCAGTACATCACCTTTTTGGGCCATCTGATGTCTGTATGTGTGTGTGATTTGTGAAAAGCAACTCGAGTATCATTAACGGATGGTTAATTCATTAAGGCTTTTTAAAGTACAGTACCACTGAATTTTCATAGTGAAAACTTACAGTATTTATTTAATGGAGGTTTTTATGCAACCTAGGCCAGTATTTTTCTAATTCACAGTTATGTGGTTGCTTATCTTTCATAGTCTTTCAAATCCAAAATGACTATTGCTGATGGTTTGAAAGGCCTAGCTTTTTATTTATAAAATTTGTTTGAAAAATATAATTCTGTATCGCATGTAATTAATATTTGATTGGGAAATGTTGCATTTCTTCAAAACAATTTGGGCTCTGTTCCAGCCTAAAGCCTTTAACAGCAAGAATGGTCCCATGTGCAGATCCAGCTCACTTTACATTCTGATATCTCATGTTAATATGAAAATTCTGAAAATTCTGTTTGATATTAATGTGCATTTGCTGCTGTGCTATCAAGCTGCTCTTTTTTAAGCAGGGGTGGGAGGAAGGAGGGCAACAAAATTTATCTTAAAAAAAATCCCAAAACCCCAGGCCCCACTGGCTATGGCAGCAAACTTCTCAGTGAAGACACCAGGCTAAGGCTGGACAGGTTGTGCTCTGTTTTGCCTCCTGTATTCCTGCAAGAGGCTGACAGCAACTCTCCTAAGGCAATAGACTATGAACCAGGGTACAACTGCTTGAAAGAACATGACCAAATTTCTGAAATGAAGAAGTTAAACTACCAGGAACTACAATCCCAGGCATGTTAGCCAAAAAGATCACAACACTGCACCTGCAAAAATCTCTGCTTTCCACTGTTCTGAGATTCTGAATCTCATGGAAGCTGGGATGTGAAAAGAGTTCTATGAGTACAAAATTGTCCTCTTGAGAGGAGCAGAGTTAAACTTTGCATTTTTCCCAAGAAGTACCTGTATGTGCATGGCGAGTCCCTGCGAGCCAAGGGGAAGGACAATGCTCGTGCTGTGTATGGCATCTCACAGTGGGAATCACTGGGTTACATTTGGCTTGTGAATAAAGAAGATTTCAGTTACAGTATCATTTTTCCTTTTGCTTCACAAATGTCACATCTTTAATTCTTCAAAGCAGTCAGTAACTATTGCATGAAACATAGCTCAGGTGACGAAAGGTGTCTCTCATTAGACAAATACGAAAGCTAGAACAAAGATACTACCTTAAAACATGTAAATCCAAGAAGCTGAACCTCAGAGGTGATATGTAGAACTGGGACCAAACTCATCATTTAAACCCCCATATAACCCACGGTCTTCCTCTTTCCAACACTGGACAGCAATAGCTGCAACTGCCGATAGACACCTCGATTCTCTGGGGCCAAAGTGAACTGCCCTGTCAGGGGACACAGTGTTACCCCTGGAACACTGCCTGACCTGAAGTGCAGCCTCCAAGAGCCACTGTCCTGCTGCAGCCCTCCCTATTGTCAAAAAGTAAGAAATGATGACCTATTTTGCCTTAAAAGCTTTATTTTGGTGTTCTTCCTGGTACACACTACTTGGCAAACAAACAATGCCAATTGCTTGTAACCTGTCTCTTGTCAGCTGGTGTTTACCCCCCTCTTTCACTGATGGTGTTTTATTCCTTCCACTTGATTTCACTGCATTCTACACAAAACAGAATGGATTTTGAACTAATGGTAATTTGAACATGCCTTTCAACATGTGTACCAGGGCATGTATCCAGCATATAGTCTTCAAATTGATGAAATCTGTCAAATTGATTTACAGATCATTTCTAATGTGACTGCAAGAGATGGTACAGATCACAGTAGGTCCTCTGATGCTACCATTCTTGTTTTATTAGTGATATAACAATAAAAAGATCTTGTCATTCTAAACTAGAGCTTTTTTTTTTTACATTAATCAAGGGCTGCAGGATGTGTATACTACATGTTTAGTTATGTTAGTGTTAAAACCAGATCATTTAAAGATAGATTACACTGGTCTACTTCTAGTATTCAGTAAAAACATGGGGACTTGTCAGACTCTGTTGTGTTCACATGCTTGTTTCCTGTCTGCAAGACTGGTCAGTGTCAAGTACATTAGGTGAAGCATTAAAATATGAAGAAGAAACATGGGATAAACTGACACTAAATCTCCTAACAGAGTGAAGCTAAGGATTTCAACTTCCTCCTCCTTCAGTTTGTGTTAATAACTGTTCTTGTAACCCCCATACACATCCAGTCTTTTAAACAAAACAAACCCAAACTGACTTTAGTCTCATCAGTCTCCTGTGAAGTTTCATCAAGGTCCCTCATCCAATTACAAAAAGTATGAAGGAGTATTTTCTAGGAGTAAGTCACACCTGTATATATAAAATCACATTCCATGTGATGAAGTCAAGGAGACAGTAAGTTTTAAATAGATCACACACATCATGGAACATAAATTGAGTCCAAAAAGCACCAGTTATAAATAAGAGTGCAAAAGAAATGTAAATAATTGTTAAAATGCTGCGATTTTAATTAACAAATTACTGATGTATTCATCTATAAAAGCACAACTTTGGAACCACAGAATATCCTGCTGCATTTCAGCCTGAAGTAAGGTTTTGTGACCTACTTATAAACCAAACAGATTTATGATAGAAAATGCTGTCAGCCCAGGGATAAGTAGTACAAAGTAGGCATTGCTGCCATTCCCTGCTTCATGCTGTCATCTCACACTCTTCACTATAATTTGATCGATTCATGATCTGCAGCACATCATTTCACATATTAAAAGCTGATGCAAAACAGTGTTTACAGACATCAGCAATTTTAAGATCTATGTTACTTTAGTTCTGAACTCCTTACATACCTTAGGCTTTTACGCTTGGCTTCGTCAGAGCAGCGATTTTTCATCTAAAGAACCATAGCTCTTATGCTGTGATATGTGAAAAAAATTGAGAATTATAAAAAAAAAATTCTCTCTGCAACTAAGAGCAGAAAAACATCACCATTGTTATGTTTGCACGATGGCTGCAGGATGCCCAGCTGACAGCACCATGGTACAAAACAAAACCACAATGCACTTGGAGAAAACCTTCCATCCAAAGCACTGAAGCACCTCAGAAATACAAGTTAACTCTTTATTCCTGGGTAAGGAAACTGAGGAAAGGGGAGGTTAAGAAACTAAGACCAAGTTACAGCTTTGGAACTACAAGGGATCCGGGTTAGCTGACAGGCAGCCCTGGGTCAATCCAGAACACACAATGGCACTGCCACATACATTCATACACATGAACAGAACTGTAAACTGATAAATCTCTTCTGGAGGAGCTTACCTGGGTCTTGTTCTGCTGTATTTTTCAGGTAAATCTCACAGGAAAGTAAGTGACTTTTACCCCAAATACCTCAAAGGTGGCAAGGAAACAAGAATATAAAAATAACTGGAAAAACACTGCGGGATGGGGTGAGGGGAATCTAAAAGTGGCTTGTCTGTGCCATCTAGCTATATTCTCCTGGAACATGAAGATCAAACTCAGGCTAGAGCAGACAGAGTGGAAAGTCATGTCTCAGTAGCAATGGCTGTCCCATCTATACTCAAAGGATAATAAGCTCAGTTTTTGGAAACCTTCAGACAAGAAAGTTCTTTTTACCCCTTCCCTCTAAGCATCTATCAGAGAAGAGAGAGAAGCAGCTCTCAGGCTTCAAAACAGCCTTGACTGACATGCTGTTGGTATGAGGATTGCCAGGACTGCATGTTTCCCTTGTCCTGCCTCAGCAGGACAGTTGGTCCTTCAAATCCCTCTTTATAGGAACACAGTGCAACACCTCCCTGTCCTTACCACTTTGCAAATCCTCTCCAGCCATAATAAATTCACAGCTGAGCCTGGTCTTAGCTTCTTGACAAATCACTGATTTAGTGCAACTGAGCTCTGCTTCAGCATGCAATCATGCCCATCTGAAGGCAGATTAGACCACAAGATCCATTTACTTCCAGTACATTCTGTGGATGTGGTAACCAAGAATGGACACCCTGACTGCTGAAACAAGAGACAAAAATGGGCTCAATGTGCAGACACACAGAAAGAGTATAAGAATCAGATTATATTTGCTTTTCTGTAGTTAAAAAACAAGACCAGCTTTTAGGGTAGAAAAACAACCCCAAAAATTCCACTCTCTGGAAGAGACACACTATTGCTAATGATGTTTGTAAAGATACTTCTGAACAGTCTCTGACACTTGCAAAGAGAACAGTCACATAAATATGAGAATATTCAGCTAGCATAGACCAAGAAACAGTGTTTGCCTCATTGCTGCTCAGGCTTCTTTCTCCACTGATTTCTGCAGGAATCTCACTTTTCAGTCTGTTATGGAAGGGTAGCTGAGAGCCATACATTTGTGTCAATGTTTGGGCATGGTCACAGACAGTTCAGGAACCAATGAAGCTCAGAGACAGGAGAATGTGTATGTGAGTACAACCCTCCTGGTAACTTACCATGCAGTTCAGCAGTAGCAATGCATTTCAACGTATGAGCCTGAAAGACAGCTGAAAAACTGATCAACTTAGATTTTTATCATCCATGAGTGTTCTAAACAATGTCTTAAAACCCCATTGCAGGAGCTGTCAGTGCAATGACACAGCACAGGTGCAGACATGAATGCACAAAATTTTGCAAGCATGAGCATGCTTGGGTCACAGACCTGTGTATGTAGACTGACAAAATGCTGAAATTTAATTCTGCTCTAGAAGTTTCTATGCAAAGAAACATCAAGAAACTGCCATCTGGCTTGTCTTCTGAATTCCATTAAAATGATCATCTGTG